AACTTATTATCACACGTTAACACATGGTCAATACTTTTATTTGATGATAAAAAGACTCCAGCTATTTCCCCCCCCCCACCCCCAAAATACTCCATCCATATCTATTTTGATAATATTGATTATACCATTTAATATTCTTCCTTTTGTTATCATTCAGTCAAACCGTTAAATTATTCACCAATAGACATCACAGAGAGATGTGGTTTAATGACTTATGCACTCGACCTTCAATCAGTAGATTTCAGGTTCGAATGCCTACCCATTTGATTCATTCTTCGTAGTATAATTATCCTCCACACACAAAAAAATTTATGGTTTATATCATGATATAGAATAAGGTAACTGAGTTCATTAAAACACGGTTCATGGTCTAGACCTTCTACTTTTAACCTCTAGGCCATGGATTTGAATCCGTTACCATCTAGTGTCTTCAAAGCAATTAGGTAGAATCATAAGAATGTTAAACAAATTGGTAAATGCCTAGAAACAGACGTGATTTTCAACCGTTTACAGATGTCGTATTATTTAAAAGGTAAACCTATTCGAAAGTGATATCATAGGTGTAGATTTATCAGAGTAAGATATTTTGGCATTCCTTGACTAGAAAACGGTACTCCTATCCTACAATGTAAATTACTTTGGCTATAATGTGACTGTATAATTTCGTAACCAATGAGTGACAAGTAATCTCTCAACTCTTGTATAGCCTAAATCTGGTGTAGGTAAGTAAATCAGACAAACCCATTGACTGACTGACTGACTAAAAAGTCAATGTCAAACTTTGATTACATTCCATGTAATCCCTTGATAACAGATCATCAGCTGAATGAACACAACTCACATAGTAAGTTGTTGATGAAACTATCTCGAATGCCTCTGAACTGACTGTCGGTATGATGTAATACACGGTGCTTGGATGTAAAATCAAAATCTGAGTTACTGCAGGATTCGAACCATCAGCCTGTGTGTTAGCAAACTGCAAAAATACAAGCTCTCACAATTGCTTATGAAAACTGGCTGCACATTCTAAGCTCGCTTATTATTATTATTGTTCCCTTGGGTTCCTAGTGGAACATAGGGCTTCAACTACACGTTTCCACTTGCTTCTGTCTTCTGCTGTACTTTTCACCTGCATCCATGTTATTCCATACTGTTTCATCTCTTCTTCACACGATCTCCTCCATGTCACCCTTGCACTGACGTCCCACTCGCCGATTCCCTTTCGGCTTCCACTCGAGCACTGGCCTGACGCGTGATGTCACCCAACGGCCTCCTCAGCGAGTGTCCAATCCATCTCCACTTTCTCGTCTAGGTAACCAGCTCCGGTTCAAAGCCCGGATAAAGAGGGAGGGTTGGGGCGTGGTGCTAGCAACTCCACCCCCAAAACTTAACCAAATTGCTATAGAAACTTCAACACATATTAAAAATACTAAGCTCGCTTAAAATAAGTAAATATAACTGCTTCACTAATCAGAGAATACAATGCATGCTACATTCTCTCATTTTCGACAGTAATACGCAACATAAATCTCAACATTTAATGTACACTATGCGTGTAAATCTATCGGTCGTCAAGGTTACGGAATCTACTCCTTAGTATCGATAGAATACTAACAGTGAAATTTACAATACAGTCACCAAAACTAGTCAAGACTGTGCTGTTGGAATTCATTTTAGATGGTGAAAGACGATTGGATGGAAGCCTTGGACATAGATTTCGTGTCCTGGGTTCGAACGCCGGTAGGTGCGTAGTGTTGAAGAGTCCCAAAATAGGACGAAACAGCTCACGATGAAATCCTCCAATCAATCAAACTAGATCCCTACTAAAACCAATACTTGAACATATTCAACTGTCTTCCCATAGAATACCAAATTGAAAATATCCCAATGTTAAACTATCCTGTCAATCAATTTCACATCTGGTAGTTCTTCAGCATAGAAAATATTAAAAAAACTAGAATGAACAGGGAATGCTCGTATTGATTTAGTTGTAGGTGGCAACTAAAACATTGTTAATAATCACAAGGAGAAGAAATACTCAGACACTCTGAACGAGTGCAGTGAAACAGTGTTCTGTCATTTATTATATATATGATATTGATTTACGCAGAAGTGTTTCTTGAATTATTAAAAAATTCTCATAAATACAAACAGAATCATCTATAAAGTGAAATGAACTCAAATTCATATGAGATGCAGTAAACTGTTACCAGTTCAAACAGTAAAGACCACAGAAATGAATGAATACAGTATTCCCCTCATATTCTTCTAATAAGTCATGCTGTAAACAATATCCTAAAATTCTGATTGGACACTAGTAACTAGTGTGACGTATCTAGTACTTCTTTGGTGCAGACTGACTTCTATCAGCACTGGGTGACGCGGGTTCGAATCTCAGAAAGGACATGAGTTCCTTCAAGGTTGCAGATACGCCTTGCTTACTGGTGAGTGCCAACTAGCACGAAACCTAGGTCAAGCAAGGCTTCCTGCCGATTGCCTCCAACTATCTAATATCCTAGAATTCTATTTTTTTATCAGATTTTTTAATGTCAATAGATAAATACAGAGCTACATTTATCGTGTGTGTTAGCTGATGATGCTACCCAACTGCATAGGCCGAAATAAGTGGAACGGGACTCGAACTCGCGACCACTTGACTGTAAGTCGAGTGTTAAGGTCAATCAGTCACATTTTCACAACACTGAAACTGTTCTCCAGTGTATAACAGTCATTCCGAAATAATTAAAAACTTGATAAATCAGTTTGGCAAGGTAAAAATTTAGACACCTGACAGGAGAGGGGGGAAACATACCAGTTACCCCAAGACACTCAGTCAGACTAAGTGTGAATAACATTATCTCCATGATGAAAAGTGCTGAATGAAGTTCAGTGATATTAATCAGGATATCTGGTTAGCCTTCGGTTATGTCGAGGAGATATTAAAGTCAAGTTTGGATTAGGGTTAATTTAACCTGATTAGGGAGATATCAAAGTTGGTATAGATAAGGGTAAGAGCTGAGTTGAGTTGAAGGGACCAAATCCACCTTTCAGCACTATGACTCTTCCTAAGATCAATGATTCCTTCCCATTTCTTGACGGTCTAACTTTACCATCAATTCAAATGAAATTTTGACATTCTAGTGATGCGAATGACAACAATGATAAATTCTTTCTTTTTAATCATAATAAATTGTTTATTTTTTTTAAATAGTGTGATATCACCAAGATGATAAATCCAGTGGTTCTCTAACTGATGTCAGTTCATGATGAAATCCTCCATGCAATCAAACAAAATTCCTACAAAACCAATACTTGAAAATAAAATCACCTGGGAAGCATCGTTTCAACTATAGGCGGACGGAACTGACGAGGATATCAAAGCAAGAATCGGAAAAGCAAGACAAGCTTCCACTACCCTCAAGTCTGTGTGGAGGTCAACAGCACCCACTATCAAAAATAACATCCGGATTTTCAACTCCAATGTGAAGTCAGTCAGTGTTACTGTATACGGATCAGAGACTTGCACTGCGCGTCATAAAGAGCATCTCAAACAAACTACAGACCTTCATTAACAGTTGTCTTCGCTCAATACTCCTCTCGAGATCAGATGGCCAGCCAGAAAAGATCAGCAACAGAGAGGGATCTCTGGGAGCGAACCAACCAGCAACCGATTGTGAAACAAATATGCAGGAAGAAATGGAGATGGATTGGCTGGCCATACTCTGAGGAAAAAACAACACATCAAGTGACATCACTAGACAAGACATTGCTCGAGTGGAACCCGACCGAATGGGAAGCGGCGAGTTGGTCGTCAGTGAGAGGGTGAGTGACTTGGAGGAGATCATGTGAAGAGGAGATGAAAGTGTGTGGGCAGACTTGGAGCCAGGTGAAGACTCTAGCAGAGAAGCTGAAGCCCTATGTTGCTCTAGGAAGTAAAGGAAATAATAATAATAATTTAAATTTTTTTTTATCACACGGTAGTTATTTATACTGTTGTGAATTGAAAAGACTACTAGACAGAAAGAAAGTCACTTCATCCTCCATTGTGTACATACATACACATCTCACCATTATCGTCATCATCAACATCTCACATATAATACGTTGAAGGTGAACAATAAGTAGTGTTAATATTCATTGCAAACATGAGACATGAGTGATGCATATACGGGCATAAATTCGTTGTCTATTTATTCATTTATTGTGTGTTCTGAAGAGGTCAAGTGCTATTCGAAATTAGTTTCATTTTTAGACAAAGAATGAAGGAGGAATGATGAAGATGGTTTCTACGTCTCCGCGTGTGTGTGTGTATCAATGTGTTGTGTGTTTGTATGTTTGTTCAACATACAGCTGACAATAATGCATAGTCTTTATGTTGATACAAGTGTTTGTATGTGTATGTAGCATGGAGCGAGCGAGAGAGAGATAGAGAGAGGGGGGAGAGGGAGACGCAGAGATAGAGACAGTTACACATCCACCCGATAAAAGTTTTCAATGAAAAATGTAGAAATTACTCTAGTCACGTTAACAACCACTTCTAGCATCTACACACACACGTACACACCTACACCTATCCTTGTCTCACAGGGAATACAGTAGATAATTGTATGTAGGTCTTTATGTGCGTGTGTGTGTGTGTTTGTGGAAAATACAAATGATTTTCCATAAGACCAGATGTTTAATCTCATTATAAGAGGGAGAGAGAGAGAGAGAAAAGTGAAGGAAAATGGAGGGTGGAGAGTGTTGTAGGGAAAATGAGACACACTCAATACACACAACACTGGCAATGCTAAATATGTGACCATATTTAACAGCAACTCCATAATCACTGCATACACGTTAAACACACACACAAACCGAAAAATCTCTCTAAACAACGCATTATATATTAACCAAATTTCTAGTAATAAATTGGAGTATTGTTAAACTGAGAGAAAAAATAAGTAAATAAATAAATAAAAACGAAAGAAACTATAGAAAGAAAACATTTTCTAACCTACCGGAGGGAGGTGAAATCTTTTTTTAAGATCTGTGCTAATTTTTAACTCATTCGCGGAATTCATTAATTTCACTGGAAAGTATACTCGGATTGTAGCTAAAGCACTATTAGCTTGACAAATATTACTTATTATTTTATTATTCCATTCCATTATTGTATCAATTTCATTTGATGAAGACGATTGATGTGTGAATTCATTCAAAGAGTCATAGGATAGTATAGATAATCCTGAATTATTATTAGTATTGTCATTATTGATCTTATTATAATCCACATTGTCTGAAGAAGACTTATGAAAACCATTTTTCAATTGTATACATCCATTATTATTAGTAGTAGTATTATTAGTAGTATATCCACCGGTTGTTTCTCTATTCTTTTCATTGTGTTTATCATTAAGACGTTGAAAGAAATGTATAGGAATGCATAGAACAGGCTGATTATTCCCATCACTTATATCCAATGGTATTGTCTGTCCTAATTTAATATCCAATAGTGATCTCGAACACTTATTACTATTATTATTCCAGCATGGATTATAAATACGAATACGACCATAGAATAGCTGCGACTGATGTTCACCAAAACAATCGATCAATTCAATTTTATATTGAGATAATTCACTTTTGATTAACATACTGACTTTTGATTATATTTTTCCAAATAAATAAATAAATAAAGGTGTATGTAGCTGATGAATATTCCTTTGGGGGGTAATTCCTTCCGATTTTAAACAAAAATACTGATAATAATAATCATATAGTAAAGATCCTCCTTTTCAACGAAAATTTCACCTCTTCAATATATAATATCCGATGATATGTATACTTCCACTAATAATTAGTATAAAGAAAACATGAAAATAAAAAAAAAATGATAAAGGGTAGGTAGATCACAGTAGTAATCGTATTATCAGTTGATCATTTATGTAATAATCAAAAACGCCAAAATATATATACCATGTATAGAAAAGTATTAAATAAAAATGAAGCACAAATGCATCATTCATTTGAATATACCTAAACTACTACTTCACACATTATGATGTGTGTATAATATATTCTTGTAAAATATACCACATACGTATATATATGCATTAACAATGTGCATGTATTCATAGTCAAATATGTTTGTACGCATTAGTCTACGTGTATGCTTTCTAAACTGAATGTTAGTGTGTATGCGTCTGTGTATCTGTATGTGTGTATTCGTGTATGTAGATAGGCGTGTGTGTGCGTGTGTGTATGGCTAACGCGATCGATCGATCACTCAGCCAGCAAAGATGCATAACAATGCTGATTTATTTAAACTGTGTATACCTGTGCGTTAATATTTCTGTGCACAAATATATCAAATCACTATGATGATACTGCGTATATTATTTTGTACAACACAACTTGATGATATACACATTATCATCTTGATAATGCTTCAAAAATTAACTCAAACTAGCTACAATGAGCACATCCATATGACAATATATGATCATAAAAAACAGTAAAATATTAAACTACTATTGTGAGAACAATTATAATTGTAATAAGCATTTACGTACGAAACAGTTGAAGAAGTTTGGGAAGAAAATTATGCATGTGTGTATATATTTATTTAAAGTGTTTATGAAAATACTTTAGAATTATTGTAAAACAAGTTATATTTAAAAAAAATAATAAATAATAATAATAGTAGTAATGGCATAAACTAACTTTTATATTGCTGCTGCTGCTGTTGTTTTTTCTTGGCCAACGTTAGTTCATCAGAGACAAACAATTCTGTGTGCGTACAGCCATTTCTTTCTGTTAGGTTTTAACCTAACAAAGTTTATATTTTTTATTAAGAGGTCGCAATTTTTCATGCCGCGAGCTTATGTTTTCTACTAGTTTGGGTCAGAATCTAGCCTGTCTGTCTATCTATCTATTCACAGCAAGTCAGTTAGTTAGCTAGCTGGTTAGCTGTTTGCTAGCTCTACTATATCTATAGCAATGCTAGCCAGTTATAGACCAAATAGGCTGTATGTGTATGTATGTCTGTATGTATGTATGTATGTGTGTATGCATGAAATGCCTCCAATCAATTGGTTGGACACATCTAATGCAAAAAAGAATTCACCCCCTTCACACTTAAATTCAGCACAGGCCATGGGCTGATTTATTTGACCAACAGTGAAGGGGGTGATATAGGAGGTTGGTGGTGGTGGCAGTGATGGTGGAGGTGGGGGACTGATTTGATGATTGTCACTCTTTTTGGCCAACTCAAGTCATATTAGGCGGTCGCTGAATAGAAATCACTAATTAAGGGCTATATAACATGAGAGAGAATATTAAATGTAGACATGTGTTAATTTTAAGAGTAAACTCATCTCTCTTTAACATGAAAACAAAGTGTTTTTTTTAAATAATCAAGTACAGAAGTTGAGGTTAAGAATAATTTTTTTTAATATATAATTGGTATCATTTATTTTTATGAAAAATGTCTTGGAAGTAAAGATGACACTCCAAATAAGTATAGAGCTAAAATTGAAACTTAAGGGGAATCTTAATTACTAAATACACTAAATACAATGCTGATTGAAAATTAAGTTTACATTGTTAGATATTCCATACAGAATCGATTCTAAGCCAATGGTGACTTATATTTCGTGTCAGCTTTCAGTAAATTTTCATTAAGTACTTTGTGTCAGTCAGTGGTGAAGCGCTTCGTATTCACAGCATACACGGTTGTTTAACATGACTGCTAACGATAGAAGAGACTTTAGTTTTTCCCGGGCTACTGAAGAAAGACTATAACATATTACGTAGGATGTTAAAGGTTGTCAGCAGGGTAAGCAAAGTGCCACTTAACCAGCTTGTTAATATTCTGGTCGACAGGCACATGGACTCATGTGAAAAATGGGCCAAATCCAATTTATCTAACAACTCACGCCACCCTCTTCACTCACAACTCTCCCCTTGCATCTCATCAGTCAGGAGACCAGAAGCTTATATAGAAAACTATATGCTCGCACCAGCAAGCAAGTACAAAAACTGAACCATACCTTACTTAGTTCGTGTTCTGTGAGATAAAGAAAGCATTAGGAGTGACACCTATAATTCATTAAATAGTCAGTAGAACGACTGGATCTCGTCTTTCCAAGTCATATCATTTATACGTACAACATTTTCTTTTCCTTTTCTCTCTCTCCCTGTTTTTTTCCTTTTTGTGCTGCTTTGTTTCTTTCTTCCGCTTACACCAGTAAATATGACAGCTCCTACTTTTCTAACACCTTCAAACACTGTTCAACTTTGGCTTTGGTACCGACATGCCAATATGTTGTTGTCATAATGAACTGAGATTTCCTTAATCTATGTAGAATTCTATTTATTGATAATGTACTAACTGGATGCAATACTGTAGTAAAAATGCTGTATCACAAGTACTGTTTTGGAATAAAGCAAATTATTAGGATTATTATCATTATTTATCCCTGAGATTAGTTGTGTTGTCTGAAATGGATAGTTTGAATGCGAAATCACCTAATCCAGACACCATGTTTCGCAGTGACTTCAAAGTAAATCAGCTAAGATGAGTAGAAACAGTGTCTACAGCTTGTTGGTTAGTTTAACAAGTGATTCACTACTGACTAATGGTGAACTAAACCAAAATGACTGTCAAATGACTGTATTTGCATTTACAAACCTACTTTAGATGATTTAGCTTTCATTACGAAGTCCACTTTTGTAGGATTCGTTAGTATATAGTGGAATTTCAATGATAGTTGAGTTAGTAGGTATCTCTAGTCGCGAAATAAAGATCTGTATGATATATATATTTTTAACTGTAGGGAGAACAAATCCTATAAAAGAGTTTGTTGTGAAGGTATTTAACCCATTTGGCATACTACAAACACTTCAATTGTTAAATTTTTTTTTATATAGTCGGTGGGTATGCCGATGTTTACTCCTTTTTAGTGGATGAGCTCGCATATGTGACAAAATGTTTCAGTTAGTGGAACATTTGTAAACAATGAGACAGCATCTAGTGAGATCATCATTTGATTAGAAACATTGACGTTTTCGATGCAGTTGACGAATTCAAATGAATCTCGCACTGAGTGACGGAAGACTTGTTTTCTGATTGGTTCAAGTAAGTCTCCTAGCCATTGGGCAGTGCGGTGGTAGGGTGAATTAGTCATGTCGAGGATCGGTCGAAGTGGAGTGCCCATCTTGTGTACTTTAGGAAGTCCGTAGAGTCTTGGTATATTTGAACCAGATGGTCTCAGGGATTCAAACATTTCGTTGGTAATGAATGATTCGTTCTTTAGTTTACGCAGGATGTCTGTTAGTTTTTGTTCAATCTGCTCCGTCATGTTTTTCTCGTTGGCCGGTTTGGCGAATTTAGATTCACCAGATAGAATGGTCAACATTTTACTGATATAATCCTTACGGTTCCTCCACCTTTATCAGGACGTATCAGCATAATCTCTTCATTGTTCATCAATTTTTTCAGCTCTTTGTAGTGTTTCTTCGTTAGTACGGATCTTCCGTTTGGATTACCATTTATAAATTTGTGGTAACAGTCGAGGACAGTTGATTTGAATTGTTGTAGGTTCTCATCAGACGTTGATATCAATTCATAGGTTTGATTTATCAGGTTTTCAAATTGAACCAGGCATTGAAGCTTGTGAACACTTCGTGGTTTTACACAGAATTTCGGACCAACAGATAACACCTCTAGTTGAGCTGTGGATAGTATGATGTTTGAGAGGTTGAAAACATACTTTTCTGGATTGCTCGGGAACGGACGTTCGGTATTAACTGAAGGCTTTAGGCTCTTAAGGAGGTCAGATTTGATGTTGTCGCATTGTTTCTCTGTTACTTCTTTGGCATATTCTTCGAAGGGTTGGCGTAGTTCTGGATCTAAGTCTTCGACTACATGTACAGTTACATGACAAGCTAATTACACCTCTAATTGTTTCATATGGGGGTGTGTGGTAAAACTGTCTGAAAAAGTCTTGCATTAGCCTGTTGGGTGATGACTGAATATGAAGTGAACATTTGGTTTACAGAAGGATTTGTTCCGTAGACCTTCGGATTAACCTGTGAGACTATTGATCAGCTGCTTGTAGTAGTTAACTGCTTACTGACTGCATAAACCTTGTAATTGTGTCTGAAGTCTATCTTTGTAATAGAAAAAAAAGAAGTGAGTGAAGCAAAAATGGAGTAAGAATAAGCATTAATATCAGTAAAAAGTTTGAGCATTGTAGATTCGACCAAATAAATTATAATTATATTTCAATAGTTTACACACAATGATAAGTTTTGTTATTGGTAATACAAATCATAAATGTGTGAACAAAACAATTCCAACAGTGGTGTGAACACACGGGCAGTAATTTTTTGCTCGAAATATTACCAATAACAAAACTTATCATTGTGAGTAAACTATTGAAATATAATAATAATAATACTTTATTAGGAGATTAACCTTTTAAAAATGCACAGAGATTGCGTAATCATGAATCGCGCACGTAATTATAAGTAGATTGGAAAAAAAAGAAGAAGTTGAGATTCGTTATTTCATGTGGTTAAATGAAATCATTGAAGAATTACATCTTCAAGAAAGTAGCAGTATATCCAGATGGATTGTTGCAAGGTAGAA